ATCAATAACTTAACCGGATCGGCCAAAAAACCATTCGGCAAATTTTTATCAGGTGTTTCAGGAATTATAAAAACTGCTGTAATCTACAAATTACATAAAACTCCAAGACCATACTTTTTAAGGACCGGACTGGAACAGAACCAAACCACTTACAGTTACATCCCTACTTACTATTACCCGTTACTTACGTACGTACATAAGTTATACATTGCCCATCCTTAGTCGAACTTATTTTCGGCAACCAAACTTATTTTCGGCAGCCGTAATTATTTTCGGCAGCCGTAAATATTTTCGGCAGCCGTAAATATAAAAAATGCCGTAATGCCGTAAATCATCCCGAATTTAGGCACCCATGTATAATGTGAGGTAAGGAAATTAGGTAACTTATTTTTAATTATAAATATTGCATAGAAATCTTCAAAAAAAAGACATAATTAGTATATAATAATAGTATCTAATACTGAAATATGTATATAAGTATTTTTTCTATATCGGAAAAGTTTTTAGATAATAAAAAACTTATAAGCCATGAAGGTTTTCTCAAGAGAATAATATCGCGTAATAAGATGTTATATAAGATATTTCTTAAATACTAGACCAAATATATAAAAGGTCATAGATTTGTAAATAACGATGGTTAAACTTAGTAAATTAATTAAATTAATAAAAGCGTGTTATACTTACTTTACAACAATATTTGAGAACATTTATTTTGACTTTCCTTAGTTTCGTTTAATTTTATCATTCTTATTTTTTTTAATATTCGTGATTTGATTGCCTGATTTACATGTAAGATTCAGACGGTCCTAAGTACGTAAGTACGTACCTGGGTGTGAGTTTTTTTTAGATGGGTCAAATCACTAGTATCCCTGTTCAGCAAAAATTCAAAAAAACGAAAAGACAAAGACAAGAACTGTAGGAATATCTTTGAAATATCGACATAATTGATAAAAAGGCTTTTATTACCTATATTCTTGTAATTACAAGGACATTTTAGTTGCAGATCTTCTACATTAAGATGTTACAAACTATAAAAAGTTAACACACTCGGTAAAAAGTTGATACGTATAATACAAAATAGATCGATTAACATAGAAAATTATTCCGTAATTTGAAAATGTTATTGAACTTTAAACAAATTAATTATTGAAGATTTATATTCTATCACAATGAAAGTATCTTTAATACATTCTTACTGCACTTCTAAACCCACAATGAATTCAAATTATTTAACACAAGAGGTATTTTTAAGCTATATCATATATGTTATAGGCAATAACATCTAACTTATATGATAATCCGACCAGTATTAGAGACCAGCACGTACACTAGAAAATACAGCATTCATTTCTGTATTTGGTATCTGGCAGAACCCTAGCTTTCAATATATACTGCAAAAAAAAATATATATTGAATACCTAATTTTATCCTAGCCTAGAATTAAATAATAAATTTTATAATAGACCTGCACATTATGCTCAAGGATAGAGTAAATTTGAGCACGAATTAGGGTTATTCAAACTATATATAGTATTTTCATTTACAAATTATTTAAATATTTTCATTATTCCATAAACTGACTAACGTATTATCCATAATAGTATAATATTATATTTTGTGTAATTTTAAGTTATTTATAAGGTAAATTGAATACTTAGAGTACATAAAATGTTGCTTTATATCGTTGCTACACTGATTTTGTTTTTATTAAATGGCTAATCAAACTACAGTCCCTTGCAAGGTAATCTATAAAATTGCATGAAAACTTTGACTAAACACATGAAGCTTTTAAAAATCATAAAGTATCTTAAAATTATAAAAAATTAGTATACTATCGGTAAAACAATTAGGCAAGAAGATTATTCCGTAATAAAGGGTATATATATGTGTATATATAATTTATGTAGCTAATGTTTGTAACCTTAGAATAACTTTAAAACTCTAACTATTGTCAACATTTTACTATGCATAGAGGCTCAACACGTATGCATACGCGTTTCAGTTATCAAACACTTAACAAATTTTACATTTACAAAATTCAATTTTAATATTGTGTATTAATAGATAGAGACTAGTAAACTCTATGCTGTAGAGGTTATTAGTAAAAGGTTCTTACAAGACCGAGAACAAATTATTCGTAATGAAATTTCTGAATTGAAAAAAATTTCTAAAGGTCACAAAAATATATTAACTCTGCACGACAATTTTGAGACCAAAAACAATCGTAAGTTATTATTATCATTCATTTGAGCTATAGACTTTTTTCGTCGTCATAAATGGATAATTGTTTCTCCATAAAAATTTTAATAGTTTATTTGGTCACGGATTTGATACTTGGCGGTGGACTTTATGATTTCATCTATGAAAATGGTAGCTTTTTTGAACGCGATGCGGTTGATATTGCTAAAAATATAACCGAAGCTATTGCTTACTTACATGATCATGGTATCATTCATAGAGGTAAAAATTATATTTAATATATGCATATAAGTCAATGCAAAATTAGTTTTTGGCTTTCATAACCAGCCAAATCAATTTTTTCTTTATATTATAATGGCTGGTAGATTTTTATATTGTGTTTATTACAGTAGATAAATTTATGTTCAGGTTGCAAGGTCTTTTTTAAAAACTTTGTGATATATGAAAACAAAATTATTTTTTGTATACTGTATATGATTTTTTTGTAATAATCTAATAATTAATATAATTTCAAAAATTACTGTAATCATAATTTCTCAAATATAAATTATAGATCTTAAGGTAACCCACATGTTTAACTTTACATCATTTATCTGTATTTATTTTTGTCTAGTTAATGATCTTTAATTTCATTCAGCCAGAAAACATCCTCTTCAGGACGACTGATAAAGATTTTGATCTTGTTGTTACTGGCTTTGGGCTATCTAAAATTATTGACCCAGAAAAATTTGATATTCTCACGACTATATGCGTTAATCCTGCCTATGTGGTAATTAAATTTTTCTAAATTTTAAATATTTTTTAAAATTAGGTGTTATCAATGTTAAATTAATGTTACTATATTTACAGGCACCTGAAGTTCTTAAGGAGCTTGAACATAGTAAACAAGTAGATATGTGGGCCATAGGTGTAATTACATACTTTTTATTATGTGGCAACACACCTTTTGGGGATGGACGTGTAGATGAATTGATGGCTATTATTCAAGCAGATTATAAGTTCGAACCTCAAGAATGCTGGGAAACAATTTCTGAAAGAGGTAAAAATCAAAATTTATTTTATAAAAAGACATGCTTAATTTAAATTAACTAACATTTTAAACAGCAAAAGATTTTATTAGCAAGTTATTAAATATTGATCCCAATAATCGTCTTACTGCTGATCAAGCGCTTAAACATTCCTGGTTTTATGAACCTTTACCTAATCAAATTGGTGATCAGCCTCGCCAATTTAATTCCCGTAAAATTTTCAAAAAGGCTGTCAATACCATAAGAGTAATTAACGATCTTTCTCGTACAAATAGTTCTAATATTGTTAATTTAATAGAAGAGTCTAGAAAAGCTGCCGATGAAGATGTTGCTGAAATATTTTATATTGAAGAGTAACGTTTCTCTTGATATGGCGGATTAAAAAAATTTTTATAAACAGAGTTGATATATCATAATAAAAATTTCTATATCCTATTTCATAGTGACCACCGATACCCCTTTTGATTTCTACCAAATATGAGATTTTTGGATTAATTAAAGAAATTGTGTTAATTATTATAATAATGAAAGTTTTTCTATGAATTATAATTATATTACCAAATTTTTAAACAATGAATGAGTTATTTAACCAAATTTCTATATTACTTTACTCACTAAACAATGCCGCAGCGTGAAAATCTGTAACTGAGCTTAGATAATGATTTACTATGATTATACTAACGTACTGACGCACTAGAAAGCTCGTTCATAATTGTGAAACATAAATTTGCCAAAGTATATGGGCTAATCTGCGGAATTGCTATTAATTATTAAAAATTTATCAGTGAATAGCTTTTGGCTCGCCAGTCGCTTTGGATGATGTTACCACTAAAATAACCTACCCGAAAAAACGTTTTTTAACGCGCCCAAATTCTCTAAAAGTCAATCACTTGATACAGGGATCGTCTCACTTCGAGTAAAATCGGAATCCAATTATATCCGAAGTAACTTCTGAACTTACGAAGTAACAGTTATTTTAAAGTTCTCGGGATCCTGTGATTGGATCATTGAGATCGCCTTATTAAGGGGGACGTCTAAAGTGGAGATTTATTTATTGAATTGGCTTTAGGGTTAGGGTCATCTTATATTAGAGTTAGGCTAGGTTTTGGGTAGTGATATATATTCAAAATTGCCTTCTCGACATTTTAGCTTAACCTACCCAAGATAGGTTTAGACTGCCGTTTTCTGTATACGTATTATTTTTCTTACGATCATCAAAATTCTATAATTTGATTGGGTGATAGTCACATGATTTATCTCCGCTTTAGACAACCCTTATTAATATTAAGGCAAGTGACAATCATCCAAAACGGTTTGGTAAATCAAAAGTTATTTACCGTCAAAGGTTAGATACACTTCTAATAATTCATGCTATGCTTTGGATTTTCATTTATATTGCTAAAAAAGGTGATTTTTCGTGATCGATTTTTTGTGTAGATTACTTTCATGCTACGTATTAGATACGAAGATGCTTAGCAACTATAAATCTGGAGATTTTCTTTGTATAACGGATATCCAGATATCCGATTTATTTGTTTAATAAGTTTAGGAATGCCCATTTCCACATGAAAATTTACCATTTCCACCGTGCTTTCACATGACTTAAAGTTAATAAATATGACAAACAAATTGTGATGATAATTACGGACAATGGTTGAAATAGCAAATTTTCATGATAAAAATAGGCGTTGCCTAATTTTATTATAAATTTAAAAAGCAAAAATTAGCAAATATTCAGATCCTATCTCTATTTTTATCAACAGTGCCATAATAATATTATCTAGCGTCGTGACGCACCAACCTAGTAAACATTTTCCAGATGATATAGCTTATAGGCATTGTAGAAATATCTATATGTACATAACACATTACTGCAGCATTACGGTTTACAGGTTTATAGTTTTTTATCCGTAATTACGAAATATGTAATGTAATACTGATACTGTAAGTTAGGTTAGTGTTAGAAGACTATAATCGCTCCAAACTTTATGAGAAGGCTTTTTGTCAGTATACAGAAGGTAATTTCATATAAAAAATGAGATGCACATATAAATGCGTGTTAATATATACGTTGTTGTATATGCACTTGTTACTGTATGTGTATGTACCGTATAATGCATTATCCCGTATATGTTTGATCATTTCTTTTGTAAAAATTTTTATATTCTTATATTATGCTTTAAATTATAAAACGTTCACAATATACTTGCTGCGATAATATGGTTTCAATTAATCTATTTTTAATTTATTCAGGAATTCTCCACATATTAAATGAATGCAATTAATTGTCACTTTCTTACTACTCGAAAACAATCCTCAACTTATTTAATTCTAAAGTGCATTAGTGCAACGATTTATTTCTTTGCATTTATACGTTATAGCTATAGTGTTGGGATGAGCATTACGGGAGTCGATTTAATTCACAAATAGTTTAGGTTGGGAAATAAGACCATCCAGATTTGGTTCAAGAAAACTCATTAGTAAGTGAATTAACTTTAAAAGAAATAATAATAGAAAAAAAAAAGATAAAATCCTTCTCTTGCTGTTAACCCTTACCAAATTGTAATTCCAAGGTTAGATCGATCATAAATAATTTACATATTATTGTGCTTTGCAAAATGTTATGGCCTCTGCAATTCACAATGTCACATGTGAGAATCGGTGTTTTTATTGATTCTAAGAATTTTCTGATTTCAAAAAAGTATAAACGTAACCGATCGGAAATATAAGTAACAGACAGTCTAGAATTTCATAATTCTCCACAAAAATCCATGTGGCTGCACCGTTTTGAAAGGCGCTATAAATTGCAGTTTATACAGAAAATGAAAATTTAATATAAATTCTGTCGGACGTTATAAAATTCTGTTTACATATAGTTTTGGTGCATTATTAGTTGAGAGCTAGATAAAAATTGGCCTTTAGAGCAGAATAATAAATCAAATATGCATTCGAATCATCAATTATGGTTTCTATAATCATATTCACTCTACCTCTGTCTTCAATAGATACCATTTTCCTGACAACCATCCAATTTAGTTAGGTTAAACATTAGTGAAAGTCGAGTGAATCCTTAAATATGATTGTCTATGAAATCATATAAAAATTAATATGTAATCAATGAAACTGAGTAGTTAGAATTGTCTATGAAATAAACACTTCGATAAATTAATACAAATTTAATAGATTGTCGTTAAAATGAACCAGAGATGAGCACCTTGCGTATGATGTGCAATCATACATACACATACATGGGTTCCGATTAATTCACCGACAATTATTTCACCGAACGCTCATTTAGCCGACATCACATATGGTTAGGGTTAAGCATTTGATTAGTTGCAGGTATATATTTTTACTAAATTTCACCTGGCGTGATGTCGGCTAGATGTCGGCTAAATGAGCTGTCGGTGAAATAATACGGACCCCACATACATAGTGTGTGCATGGTGTTTTAAGTTCGGATCTTAGTAAATATAAGTCCCTAATACTGTAATAAAATTAAAATCAGAGATTCTTATTTTATTTTTCCGAGTTAGAATTTAATATAGTATAAATGCTATTGAAAAAATCCTTATTTTTGAAATGCGTCACTGATTTGTTAATTTTGAAACCCTTATATGCTGATCAAACCATGCAACTCATATAACCATGAAACTACGTGCACCATGCAGCATCGTATGGGCATACGTACGTACGTACGTACGTACGTAGTTCCCCAAACCCATGTGATATCACATCAATTTTGCCGTCTATTTTAATAAACAAATCTTAGATCATGTATTAACTTTATATAATGATGTCAATCTAAATATTTATACCATAGTACATCTTTTTTTCCTATAGTTGTATATAAATACAACCTTAATAAAGCCTTGGTACTATTAAACATTCCTTTCTATATCAGTATATTCGATAAGATGTCGACAAGCTATCAAGACAGTCAACAACACATTTCAAGTGATGAAGATAAAATAATTGAGGAAGAAAGTAATCAAAATGACCAACTACACAATATTGACATAACGGATACAGACAATAATCAAAATATTCAACAGGTTCAACAGAATTCTAATGAAATATATTACATTGTTGAACTAAAAAAAAAGTTTAAAGTATGGGAGAAGCTTCACTCTTTGTCCATTATTAGTGAAGTAATTACCATAGTTATTAGTATTTTGTTCATTGCCCTTGGTATTTATATTTCAGTCTCAGACAAAAATGGTATAGAATCAAATATTAATTTTATTGTTTCAAGCTCTATTTTTGGTGTAAGCGGCATATCTATTTTGGGCGGTCTGTTTTCTATTATGAAAACGTGCAGGTTTAAAAGCAAATTAGATACATTAGATGAACTATATATTAAGGAAAAGGATTTAGGAATCCCCAGAACTTTTAAATTTTGGGAAATAGAATTTAATAATGATACCGAGAAAGCAAAAGCTCAAGGCGAATCTATAGTGTCACATAAAGCTTATGAAAGAAGTCATCGAAAACCATTATATTTTATGAAAAAACTTGTCAAACATACAAAAATTATGCTGATGGCTGAAGTTGTGTGGGCTTGTATATTTTCATTTCTATTTATTTTGGTGGCAACAATTTCCATATTTGACCTGGTTAATGACTATAATAGTTCGGTAATTAAATCTTATACAGATTTTCTTATTGCTACTTCTGTAATAGCGATTATTTCTTGCTTAGGCCGTCTTTTTATAATCAAGATGGCTTTTCCCAAGATGCTAAATGTCGCTGCCAACTTGTTTAATGATAGAATCGACATAAAAGAGCTTCTATCATGTTCATTATATGCCGTTGGGTGGATATTTGTATTAATTTGGTCCTTATTTCATGGTTTGATTTCATTTAAACTTGAGTTAAAAAGAATTGATATAAGTCATGAAGAGATGGTGAAAATTAAGCGTATTCTTTATGGTTTAGCTCTGCCTAAAGAAATAATAGATTCGTGATTAATGTTACAACAATTTATTATATATATTTATTTTGTCTTTTAATCAGTGCCTTGTTTACACGGGCAGAGTATAATTATAAAATTTAGATCTACTATCTATGTATTTAATTTATTATTTAGATAATTGCAATATTTATTTATTTTTATTTTGTGTTTTTGGCTTTAAACACCTATTTAAATCATCTGAAAAAAAACTGAACATTCTATATTAAAATATTAAATTTAAAAATAATTAAAAATTTTATATTAAAATATTAAATTTAAATTTTTAACTTCTCCTGTTTCCATATTTAGCTATAACAATTATTATCTTTATGCTCTTGATTTTTAATTTTGTTTAATTTGTAATTATATTTTAATAAAATGATATATTTTTGTATTTATAATGAATGGTAATCAGGGCACAAAACCTATTGTAAATATCAATGATGTCGTTTACGTAAAGCAATTTCTGCCTCGATTTTTCAACAGATGGAACATTTCCGTCATTTATAATAACGACTTCCATCAATAGTTTCTAGAAAAAATACT